TTATTACACAAGGATTGCTTGAGCAAATCTCTGGATGAGGGGCTCTCTAGGATATAAATCTGTGTTTAGCAGCACACAGTAACTTTCAATTTCCCTTGACCTTACAAGAGAGAATTTAAAAATTCATGCTTGTTTGTCCCCTGCCACTAGATCTAACCTGCAATATACAGCATGATACCTGCTCCTTCTGCTGTGCCATTGCTACCTCATTACTACTCAACCTATACTTTACTTCCTTACCTTGCAGTACAGGAATACTACATACAGTCTGACTTCACGCCGTACAGTACATACCATCCCCATTTATCTCAACGGGAAATGAAGCTTTTATGCCTGTAGCATAAAGCAAACCAGGTATCTGGTGTATGACTGGGTAGAAGTAGGTAGTGAATTATGAACCTTTTAGAAATATGGCTCTATCAAAATTGTATATAAAAATACTCCTAATGACTCCAGTCATTTTATTTGGCATCTTCAGGACATTTCCAGTGCTCAAAAAGCTAGTCAATGTTCTGGCCCATGTCAGCTAAATCCATGGTTTTCCTTTAGCATTTCTGACATCTGTGATGGAAAAAGCTCTAACATACATTTCAAAGTGTTATGCCAGGGGGCTAAATGGCTCAGGAGGCTGATAATAGGATAAGGAGCCTTTCACTTTTGGGTCACCAGTTTAAATCCCACCCTAGCTGGCAGTCACCAGCAGTTGCTACCATCTGGTGGCTGTTTGGTGATCTGTGTGACATGAGTTGGTGAATCATAATTGTTGTGTGAGAGGCGTTGGTGGACAGCTGTCGTCACTAAAATCACCACTAGAATTGGCACCCTTTTAGGCAGTCTTAACAGAGACGCCAAAGACTGAATGAGCAATGAGAAAAGAGACTCCTCTTTTCCTCCCAGAGGTGGTCCCTTCAGAAAAGGCTTAGATATATGCTGGTTAGTGTGGGACATTACCATGTTCTGTGCTGTATCTGATAGATAGAAGACTTCAGCTTCCGGGTCTGTGAAATCAGCAGTTTTACATTCACACTCTACAAAGATTCTTCCTGATATGAAGAGCCGATCATTAACCTTAAAAGGACACATGCATAAGGAACAACATCTGGAGAGACTGTACCTACCTGAGGCACCGTTTGCTCTTGGTGCAACACTGAATAGAGTCGTCCTCAGTGCTTTAGCATAAAAGTCATGCTCTCAGGGAATCTCCAGAGTTTTTCATTAAGAATCTGTACAGCTATCAAGCAGCCAAGGCACTACATTTAATAGCCATCTGGCGATGACTGACACTTTCTTAGGTAGAGTCTTTCCCTAATTAATCTCTCAGTGCCCTGCAGGGAGTGGATGTCAGAAGGATAGATACTGCACTTGGATTTTAAAAAGATGGGGCTAATTTTATGATCTCAGGTGAGGCTATGCAGGCTGCTGTAATAAGATGTCATCAGGTTGATTAAACTTCATGCTTTGTGATGTGCGCTGAGTTGCTGACCACCGTGGGAAAGGGTCACCCCTGTTCCTACTTCAGCAGAAGCATACAATAAGTCAGGTACATTGTTTTCTATTTCCCCCTTTTCTGTGAAACAGGAGGTGGTGGATGAAGATGGGATACCAGTCTTTAGACACAGTCTTGTTCCTAAAATCTGACCTACTCTGGTAGCTCCTGGATTCCTATCTTCTGTACTTAGAATCCAAAGATGGTATCTTAATTTTCCTGACAGTGCTTTTCCTTTCTACTTCCCACCATTGTCTAGATGTCCCTTTTAAAAAAAAATATTTTTTTTATTAAAGTGATTCCTCCTCACCTCCCATTCAGCCCTGTCCCCTTTGCCACATAAATAACATGATTCCAGTGACTGATAGCATGGTCTGAGCTACTATCTTGTCCTGAATTCTAATTAGTTCTGGAGATCCTTCTTCCTCACACAGAATATTTTAATTTTTTGTAACAGAATACTGTGGTGCACTTTCTGGAGTAACAAATAAATTTCACAGCAGATTGCAGTGCCACCTACAGGCAAAGTGAAAACATGTCATCCAAGACTTTTTGTTTTCCATTTAACTTTACTAATCCCAAAAAGAAGACATACTTCTGCTATTTTAAAAACTATTCTTCAGGTTCCCTCAGGAGTTTTCAGATTCATTGTCTTTCCTGAATTAATATTTTGATATATTTGATTTAATTGCGCATAAAACAAAGTATTATAGCGCTTATTTTATATATCTATAAGAGTAATTGTTTTCACTGAAAAATGTCTATTATTTTCATGCTATCCATTTGATCCATTAAATAACTTGGGGAATTCTTTTGTTTGGGGAGTTCAATGTCTTGAATCTCATCTATAAACTTACTGGCAATCAGTGCAGATCCCAGAGCACTGGTGTAATGAAACTCACTTTAATAAGAGTATTGCTGTGTTCTGTATTAGCTTCAGTTTCCAAGTGGTCTCAGTATGCAAAGCATTACAGTCCTCTAGTCTCAAGATGACAAAGGGCCGTATTGGCCAGCGCTGTATCAGCTAAATTAGGTATGTTGGATTAGTAGCTTCATAAACAATTTTCTTACAAACTAGATTCACACGAGCTGTAGCTCACGAAAACTCATGCTCAAATAAATTGGTTAGTCTCTAAGGTGCCACAAGTACTCCTTTTCTTTTTGCGAATACAGACTAACACTGTTGTTACTCTGAAACTTTGAACTTGGACCTGCTTAAGTTCTGTCCTTGTTTATATCAATCTTACAGTAAATGATTCAAGTATTTTCTGATGAAAGACATCAGTTTGGCAAAGCTGGAAATGGTTGTTCTCTAACGACAGAACAGGTACAGCCAAGCCATGAGCCTGTAAATTTCCCCACATTGCTTTGCCAAAGGGTCTTCCCTCTGCTGGCAAGTTCATTCTCTGAAGCCCATTCAGTGCATCATCCCTCTGTTGACCCTGTGAATAAGGGGGCCAATTAATGATGGTGATTTTGGGGATGATTTTAGGTCCTGGACTAGATTATATCCAACCCATTTTACGTTAGACTGTGAACAGCCTTTATTTTATTATTATTATTCTTACTATTATTTATTTTATTGTTGTTTATTATTCTACCAGGCCATCCTTCAAGAAAGCCAAGTCCAGCAATTCCTTTTCAGCAACAATTAATATGTACGTTACTAAGAAAGACCAGGCTGATTTTGGAGTGTGTGTATTTTGGAGGAGATATAAAGGGTTTAGGAACACAAGTGCCCTCCAAGATCAAGATTCCTGAACACCCAGTTCTGTTGTAGTACAGGGTTAATGTAGGAAACTGTCATTCTGCAAACACAGGGATGGCGGCTTCCTGTGCTGCTGTCTAATTTTGCCCCTTTTTGAATTATTATTTTTAGGCAAACAAAGGACATGTCTGACTCCAAGGAGATGTTGTTATTCCAGTGCACACTTCTAATCTCAGGACGAGTCATTTCAGAGAAAGGGAAAGGAAATTCACCATGAAGATGAAGAGCCTAAGGCACTGCTGCAGAACATTGTACTGGCTTTGGACTAGTGGAACTGTGCCTGTGATGAATCTTGTCAAGCCTAAACTAGAGTGGCTAATAAGAAATCACACCACTTTACTCTTCCTATCTACCTCTCCTATTCCACATAGCCCAGCTGTAAAAGCCAGACTGGGCAGGAGGGTTGGGAAAGGGGGAGGTCAGACTGTACATCTGCTGGGCTGTACTAGATTTTTAAAATGTATCCTGAAACTAAAGACAGAGATTTGATAATCCTCGTCTAAGGGTGAATTTTCCTTGGCTGGCCTGGGATTTTTGTGGGGAAGTCATTCCTCCCTTCACTAAAACTGTTCACTGCAAAGGAGAGAGACAAAGATCCCTACACAGGGTAACTTCTACAACATTTGCTAGGGGGAGGATGCATTTGCTCCCTGCTAATCGTAAAAGGATTAATTTGCAGGCCTCAATCCCTGCACACCATGCCGAACATTGCCCACAGTAAGTCCTCCCACGAAAGCCTTCTGTGACACTGCAGCCCATATTCTTCAGTCATATTATTATGATATGATTATGACATAGTTATGATGTATTTTATGCAAGATAAGTCATGTGACATGTCACTGAAAAGGTTATGATTTACTGAATATGATTATCCTACTTGCATGCATGTATCATTTTTTTGTATCTGAAGTTATTAATATTGACTATGTCTCTGCATTTCAAATGTAGTTACACCTCTGGAATACCCACTAGGCAAGTTGCTTTCATTCCAGACAGTGAATGGGGAATGGGCCCTTAGGAGAAGCTTATCTCCTACCTGGGGAGCCTTCCTGAGAACATTACAGACAGCCTCCAGTAATGGGTGCTATGACTCTGCAAGGACATGTGACGAGACCACATGTCTCTAGACTCCATCTTGGGATGTCACTGTTTTTCCACAGACTGGTCTGGGAACCAAGCTTGGAAACAAAGGGTTCCTGCCATATGCAAAAGCTATATAAGGCAGTGACATCATCAGGTGTTCTTTGCTCCCCACACAAGAAGACTCCTGGAAGCACCTGAGGAACAAAGCCTGAACTGGGAGAATGGCTGGACCCAGGCTAAAGGGATTTTTAGCCTGTGACTGGAACACCTGGGGATTCCAAGCTGTAAGCAAGAGCAGCTTGCCCCTTAAGAAGCTTACATACATTACAGTACATTACATATCCCACTGTTATTGTGGTTTAACCAATTCGCCCTTCTTCCCCTATCCCCAAAACACATTCCCCACAGGAGGGATTCCTTAGGGTTTGGCACTCAGGTCAAGGGGGGGCGGGGGAGCTGCAGTCCTTTTCTTTTTTCCCACTTCCAAGATGGCTACCTTGATAGCTTCAGGTCTATTATCTCAGAGCTTGCCTCCTACTTCCAAAATGGCCTCCATCATAGCTTCAGCCCTCGAGGTGAACAGCTTTCTGCCCATTGCAAAGATGGCGGACTGACCCCACACTCACGTGCCCATAGCCACGGGGAGACGCCCCGCCCCTCGTATCTATGATTTCCCCAGGGGAGGGGGGGCTGGGAGGCGAGATTGCCTTTGACGTTGATTGGCCCTTTGCGCTCCCCGTCTCGGCCGTTGCCAACCCTCTGAGCGATCATGGCAACCGGCGCCGCCCGGAGGGACGCGGCGATGACAGCGGCTGGAGGGGCCCCGGGGCGTGGTGCCGCCTGGTAATGGAGCCGCCCGGGATCGAGCCCGAGAGTTGCTCCCCGGCCCAGGAGCCGCCAGGGTCCCCGGCCCCCCCCGCCGAGGAGCCGGAGCCGAGCGAGGCCGCCCCGGCGCCCCAGCAGGAGGCCGAAGGGGTCCCCCCGCTGGCCCCGGTTGCTCAGGGCAGCCGGCCCGGCGGCCCGGGCTCGAAGGGTCAGGCCAAGCGGTGCGGTGCCGGGAAGGGGAGCCGGGGCAAGCGGGGCTCGACCCGCCGTGCCGGGGAGGAGGGGGGCCGGCCCGCCCGGCGGGCCCATGTCACCGTGGACAGCTCCAAGGCCAAGACCTCGCTGGAGGCGCTGAAGATCAGCTTGCGGCAGCTCCGCTGGAAAGAGGTAAGGGACCCGCTCCCACTCCACGGGCCTTCCCCAGCGCCTCCTCCCCGCAGACCTGCCTGGCTGGCCCTTGGCGGGGCACCGCACCCCAGGGCCCGGGCTCCCTAGCGGCTCTTTCTCCCCGCGCCCCCGATCTCCAGTCGTGCTCCTTCCCCGAGCTCTGTGCTCCCCCATAGCCCTGGTGGGCCCCTCCGAGCCCCCGGGACTCCTCTCTGCGCGGCACCCTTCGCCCGGCCTCTTTCCTTCTCTCAAAACTCCACTTGCCCGCTCCCGCATTCCTCGGTCAGCCCCCGGATCTCTGCTAGGCCCGTAGTGCTCCCTAAGCCCTGCTCCAGAGTCTCTTGCTGTGCTCCAGTAGCTGTCTCGACCACCCCATTTCCCCCCAGTCGTTCTGTAATCCAGTCCAGGGATGGCGCTTGTGCAGCAGCGGGCTCAGTAGCAAAGGTTACCTTCCATTTGGACTCTTCTGGCTGCTGTCTTGACGTTTCTTGTATTGTACAATTATATGTCAGATCACGTGGCTGGATTTTAAAAGGACTTGGTAATTTTGTGACCGTTAATACCGTCTGTAGTTATGCATGCTAAAATAGGGTAATTGGATTTCGTGCTTCATGAGTTAAATTGATCATGGTAAGGGGCAAGAAGGAAACAATTGCCTGGAGCATTTTGTTTTCCTCCCCAAAGAAATGTTAAATATAGGTCACCACCACTGATAGAAAATGGGGCCTTGATGGACCAGAAATCTCATCTGATATGGCAAATCCTCTGTTATGTTGTAAAAGTAAATTCAGATACAGGTGAGCTTGAAATCAGGATAAAGAACATTTTGTACTAATAGCAAAATGACAATGTTAAACAGTTTAGCAAAATAACTGTCTTTGGCTTTTTAAAATAACTAAACCTGAAAAGGATAGGAAATTCCTTGAAAGGTTTGTATAGGGGACAGAATAAAGATAATATTTAAAACTTCACATGAGAAACACTGAAATATTTCAGAAATATTCCCCAATTGCAAAATGTTAAACAGTTCTCAGACTCTAAAGACTTCTCACCTGCAGTGGCTTCAAGGCTCCATGGAGCTGTGCTGTTAGGTCTCTTGTAGCTGGCCACTTCTCCAAGGATCTCTATAGTGTGGTTGGGGGCACAGAGTTGTAATAAGGCCTGGGAATGCATTATCTTTTCACCTGGAGTCCTACAGAGTTTGAGGGGGGAGGGAATGTTACATGGCACATCTTCCCCGCTTCATTGCTGTCTTTGATATGCCAGCTTCTCCCTGATGCCCTCCTCCCCTTCATCCCACAGATGATCCCATAGCTCCATGAAGGTAGCTGCCGCCTCTTCCATGTGGGAGGGAGAGAACTTTGCATGGAGGAGGCCCTCCCGGTATAGATCTGAGGGATACAATCCAGTCCACTACACCAAACAGAACTGGACATTTGTAACCCCAAAAACTATTTTCTGGAGAATTGGTCCAGAGTAAATCTGACTCTCCTGTTCATTTATAATATTCAGAATGCCCTACAACACAAAGACAGACACATTCCCTGCCATGAAGAACTTGGATATTACTTACTCTAATAATGTGTGTATATAACATTAGAATCAGTTGTTTTCTGCAGTCTAACTTTTGCCTTGTGCTTGTGTATTGTATTGTTAGACAGTTGTAGGTAGCATTAATTATCAAGTAATGACATTGCGTAGTGTCCTATTAGGTAGAATAGGACTGAACACTTCTGATAACTTTACTTTTCCTCAGTTTTTTGTGTGAGTTACTTATAAATTGAAAACTGAGAAGTATTTCTTCATTAACTCTTATTCTGTGCATTTCTTTAAGGTAACATTGCATTGCATAGATTTGTTATGACTGCCAACAGTTTCAGTGTCTGCTTTTATATTTAGCAACACTGTAATATAATCATGGCTGTAGTTGTATTCTAATTAGTATGTATGATAACACTAATTAGAAAAAATGTTCAGTATTTGCAGATTCAGAATTTGATTTTTTGCAATGGGAAGTAGATGATGCACTCATCTTAAAGTATGAACAAAATCCTGTCGTGTTCATGTTGAACCACATGGACTTTCTGGCACTGCAGTGATGGGGTCTGTAGGTGAAATTGTAGCACTGCTGAAATCAGTGGGAGTTTTGGATTGACTGTCTGCAGAGCCAGGATTTCAGCCCATATATTATACGTGCAGTGATAGATTACAAACACCAATTCACTGGAGTACTTGTGGCACCTTAGAGACTAACCAATTTATTTGAGCATGAGCTTTCGTGAGCTACAGCTCACTTCATCAGATGTATACCGTGGAAACTGCAGCAGACTTTATATACACACAGAGAATATGAAACAATACCTCCTCCCACCCCACTGTCCTGCTGGTAATAGCTTATTAATTACCAGCAGGACAGTGGGGTGGGAGGAGGTATTGTTTCATATTCTCTGTGTGTATATAAAGTCTGCTGCAGTTTCCACGGTATACATCTGATGAAGTGAGCTGTAGCTCACGAAAGCTCATGCTCAAATAAATTGGTTAGTCTCTAAGGTGCCACAAGTACTCCTTTTCTTTTTGCGAATACAGACTAACACGGCTGTTCCTCTGAAACCAATTCACTGATCCATCATGTGAAGTTGATTGGGGGAAAAAGAAAACGGTCTCCTCAGTGGATGCTGGAAACTTCTTTCATCATTATTAGGTTTGACTCATGGCACTGGACAACAGAGTTTGTAAACCAAGATGAATTTCATACAGTATTTTTAAATACATCCCTGCTCCTGTTTCCTATTATTTGATATGTATATACTTAAAACATTATGGAAACAGAATATATTGTATTTTAGCCTTTTATTTTTTAAATCTTGTTGCAGAAAGTCAATCTTCCCTTACATAAAAGCTCAAATCATCTTCTTATGTGCACACTACAAAATAGGAACAAAACCAATGGTGTGAAATTATAACTTGATAGAATTGCTCCTAGTTACACTGATATGTAGATGCACCTGTTGAGTGTCCACCTGCAGCTTCTAGAATCATAGAATCATAGAATATAAGGGTTGGAAGGGACCCCAGAAGGTCATCTAGTCCAACCCCCTGCTCAAAGCAGGACCAATTCCCAGTTAAATCATCCCAGCCAGGGCTTTGTCAAGCCTGACCTTAAAAACCTCTAAGGAAGGAGATTCTACCACCTCCCTAGGTAACGCATTCCAGTGTTTCACCACCCTCATAGTGAAAAAGTTTTTCCTAATATCCAATCTAAACCTCCCCCACTGTAACTTGAGACCATTACTCCTCGTTCTGTCATCTGATACCATTGAGAACAGTCTAGAGCCATCCTCTTTGGAACCCCCTTTCAGGTAGTTGAAAACAGCTATCAAATCCCCCCTCATTCTTCTCTTCTGCAGGCTAAACAATCCCAGCTCCCTCAGCCTCTCCTCATAACTCATATGTTCCAGACCCCTAATCATTTTTGTTGCCCTTTGCTGGACTCTCTCCAATTTATCCACATCCTTCTTGAAGTGTGGGGCCCAAAACTGGACACAGTACTCCAGATGAGGCCTCACCAATGTCGTATAGAGGGGAACGATCACGTCCCTCGATCTGCTCGCTATGCCCCTACTTATACATCCCAAAATGCCATTGGCCTTCTTGGCAACAAGGGCACACTGCTGACTCATATCCAGCTTCTCGTCCACTGTCACCCCTAGGTCCTTTTCCGCAGATTTCTCTCCAGTCTTTTTGTAGGTAAAGTGCAGAACAGCAGTGTTCTACCATTTAATTTGTCAGCTGAAGAGTTAAAGTTTATACAAGACTTATCCACATATTATTGTAATGAGTGCTTCTGAAAGTCTGATAAATATTAAAATTAACTGATAAACTTAGCTGATTATAAATGTAATCCACAGGACTAAATTTATTTCTCATATGTTTGACCTGTTTTGAGCATCTGATTCCCCAAATTGCTCAGTATTATGTATTCTGTTCCAGAAACGGAACTATGCGCACTCTATTGTTCTCCTCTTGAACAAGTACATTGTATTTTCAGCATTCTTCTTCCAGCTCTTTATCCCACAGTCACAATCACTTTGGCTTTGCTTAATCTTTATTGATGGAGACAATAAACAAATATCCTTTCTCCTCCAACCATTAATTCAGTCAATATTTTTCATTTAGTCTGCCTTGCTTCTCCCTCTGACCTCTTTTCCATTTTTCTTAGTAATGGCTTTTCAACCAAAATAGTGACTCATAAGGCATTTGGCTATACCACTTACAGTCAGTCATAATTCATTCTGCCCAAACAAGTCCTCATAATAAATTTGTATAGGTTTGCAACCCACTATAGTAAAGAGGGTTAGATATATTCAAGTGAGACCATGTCTTTTCTCTAGTTCATCAAAGATGATCTGTGCCTGTTTTGAACGGTATACTTATAAAATTTTGCTTTCTCTCTCAGATTCTGTTACCTCTGCATGAGTGACTGAAATTTATGAGCCTAAAGCTCAGATAGAAAGACAAAGATGTTAAACATTTAGTAGATTAGCTGGAGGTGTTTGTGATCTTAAGTTTCTGCCGTAGGAACTTTATCACAATAAAAGGATGGGTCCTCCCTTAAAGTGATAGAAACACTTCATTTCTTACCATGTATGCCCCAAAAATGTGAACAAATTTTAATGTGTGACAAACACAACATTTCAGGTAGAAGAGGGGGTTGAATGAGGAATAGTGGTGACAGTTTAGGCTATGTCGGTATAAATTATGTCACTCAGAGGTGGGAATAAGACACTCCCTGAGTGACCTAAGTTACACTAACCTAAGCACCGGTGTGGATAGCGCTGTGTAGGCGGGAGAGCTTCTCCCACTGACAGAGCGACCGCCACTTGCAGGGGCTGGAGTAAAGCTGAGCATCTGCCCTAACAGCGCTCTAGCGACGCAGTGTAGTGTAGCCATAGCCTTAGAATGCCAACTATTGTGTGACTGAAGGGAGTGGACCTTATCTG